TTCTTCGATCTCCTGTTGAGTTTGTAGGTGTTCAGAATGGTTTGATCCCTATCCAGCTGAATTCCTGAGAGGAGACGAAATCCAGGTCTCCTACTCCTCTGCCATCTTGCTCCGCCCCCAGTTACCATGTATCTATTCTAATTATACATCCAGGAACTGATCAAATCACTATAGAGTGGTTCTATAGATTTACTTAATCTACTGTGATTAGTATGAAGACTCAATTTCTCAGGGGGTGGGAGAGTGGGGAATGAGTTAAATAGGTGATCGGGATTAAAGAGTGCACTTGTGATGCACAGGGTGATGTATGGAATTGTTGAATCACTGTATTGTACACTGGAAACCAATATCACACTGAATGCTAACTAACTGGAATTAAAATAAAAACTTTTAAAAAATAAAGGGAAGGTGCAAGGACTAAGCTCTGGGAGCACTACAATATTAAGAACTCTGAGAAAAGAAGAATAACCAACAAGAGAAACATAAAAAACAATAGGGAAGTGGGAGAAAAACTCAGATATTGTTATCCTGGAAGCCAAGTGAAGAAAGTACAGGTTTCCCCCACTTTCCCCCACTATCTGAAAGTACAACATTCTTGTGAGACCGTCTGTAAGGCAGAATGACATAAAGCAAAGAAACAATTACCATTAATTTATATGGAAAATTCTTTTGAGTATTCCTAGACCCAAAAAATCAAATCTCTTAGGCTTTTCTGATTTCTTAGGACACATCTTGCTAATGGATGCACAAAATACATCGAGATAAAGCACAGATGCTCAGACACAGTTCAAAGCTACAGTTGCTGAATGCTGAGCTACTGAGTGTGGTTCCTGGGGAAGGAGCTTAGGGTGTATACTGTCTCTACAATGGCTTGCTGAGAAACAAATGCTGAATGCTATTTTTACTTTTTTGCTTTTTTTTTGTAAAAGCAAAAATCCTCTTCAGATTTCTTTCCCTGAGGGAAACCAGACCATGGTCAAGGCATCATCAAGATTAACACTCATTTATGACCTCAAGACCTACCTCACCAATATCCCAGTTCAACTGTGTTCAGGCTTTTCGTCACCACTGGCAGAAATGGTGCTAATCTTAAAGGATCCTGAACCCCAAGTCAGGCCTTGGCCATTACAACAATACTTCATGAGACCCTCATTCTGTGCTGTGCGCAGTTCGGTAATACTTTTCTAGACATCCCAGCAAGCAAAGTCTTCCATGTCCATGCAGGTTTCAGCATGGGGAAAGAGCAGTGTGAAGATTCAGGTGTCCTCCAAAAGTTCCTGGGTTCTCACCAGACCATCCTCCTTACCCTCTTTGTGGTGCTGTTGTCAACAGCTTTTTTTTTCTAGCATACAATACCTTCATAAGATACAGACAATTCCAGTTGTTTATGTACCAACTGGAGGAACACCACAGCCAGATTCTTATACCTCCACACATTCCTCCCCACCCATTCCTGACTCCACAGCCCCCACCAGCCTAAAGTCAGCTACAACACAGTGGCTATGGAGTATAAGGCACTAACCTCCACTTAACAGGTCCCCTTGCCTATGGAAGACTGGAGATTTCTAGCCCTAGACCTGGAGCCTAGCAGCAACCTCTACACTCATAAGCCCCTAAACAAGGCTTCTGAGAACTGTAAACAAAGGATCCCAAGCTGTTCCATTAAAAAAAAAAACAAAGAAGACTCAATTTCTCACCTGTCTACCACAAGCCCACACTTAAACTGGTGGACTGAAGTGGCACTTATGGTTCCCAGGAATTAACATTGATGTAGTGCCAGTGTTTAGAAATCCCTGAGAAACCTGAATATTTCTTTTTCCCTGGCACATAGTCATTTTAGGAGATGGCCACAGGTCGTGTTGGGAAGACTTGGAAGAAGATTTTCAGTATATACTTAAGGCAGTGCGGCAGTGTCCTCCTTTAAGGAGATCCAACCTTGCCTTCAGTTACGGGGCTTAGGCCTAGAAACTGGTGAGAGGTCAGAACTCTCCACCGTGGTGACTAGAGTCATATTTTTGGCCACCATGTATGGATTTTTTATATTATATATAGCTAACCATTTCAGTAGGCTGGCCATCTATTTTATTCCTAGGACCACTATAATCACTTGGCCACAAAGATTGCTGAGAGCCAAAAAACATGTGATTACCACTGTATTTCTACTTTGTCCTTCATGATAAATGTGCCTACTTTGTCTTTGGTGGTTAAACACTAAAATTTGGCCTCTGCTACTCTGAAATGGGTCATCCCACCGGCCTAACCTACAGAAGAAAGCCACTATAGAACTTTTCTTTTTTTTTTTTTTAAAGATTTTATTTATTCATTTGAGACACAGAGATACATAGAGAGAGAGAGCATGAGCAGGGAGAGAGGCAGAGGGAGAGGGAGAAGCAGGCTCCCCACTGAGCCAGGAGCCCGATGCGGGGCTCGATCCCAGGACCCTGGGATCATGACCTGAGCCGAAGGCAGACGCTTAACCATCTGAGCCACCCAGGCGCCCCCACTATAGAGCTTTTCAAGGATGTAAGTATTCCCATCACTAATATACTTTTCATTGCTTCAGTAAAGGGATCTCACCAGAATCCTTTCAGAGGATGTACTTGGAGGGGGGCGGGGAGTGGATGTGCAGGTCAGTATGTGATAAATCTGCTCCAACATTCCTATCTCCCTAAGCCTTTGGATTTCTCCTTACATTATGCCAGGGAAGTTCTAGTATCTCAACTTAAACACATGCCACTGTGGAGTCCAAGTTTCAGTGAATTTACCAAATAAATGATTGGTGTCGTCACTTCCAGCTGTAGGTTCTATAACCTTAAGTCCTTAATTTCTGATAAGTGTTCAGTATTAACCCATATTAACAAATTCTAACAACTCAGCATTATATTCTGTGTTCCTTTCTTTAACTCCCTGATAATATACTCTTACAAATATTCCCTGGGTTTATGCCACTATATATGCAAATCGTGAAAATCCTTTGCTGTAAAAACTATTTTTTCCTGGTCAGACTTTGTATTTGCCCTGCTGGAGCATTTTAACATCTGATTTTAGTTATGAGTCTCCTAGAAGTAAGAGGTGATTGTGATGAGTCTTGAGGAAAATGGGCATCTCCTAGTAAGGCAATTCCCCCAGATGAGATTATTGCAAGGTTTTCAATTTAGTGAAGGCTAGTCTCCACAAATACAGGAGGACAAATTGCCTCCATTGGCAAGAGAGACTCAGAAGTTTGAGATTATTAGTCTCCTAGTCCCACTAAATGTTGGAAATTTGGAATGAGGTCCTTCTTCCCAATCAGTGCCCCAATTTTCACAAGAGTAACTTGGCTGGGATGTGAATTCAATTAATCCTATAATTCTACAACCCCATAATTCTTGATAAGTTGACCCCTTTATCATTGTATAATGACTTTCTTTGTCTCTTGTTGCAGCTTTTGGTTTGAAGTCTATTTCAAAGTCTGATGTAAGTATAGCTACCTCTGCTCTAATTTGGTTTCACTTGCATGTACTCTCTTTTTCTTTCCCTTCACTTTGAGCCCATGTGTCTCCTTAAAGCTGATGTGAGTCTCTTGTTTAGGCAGCATATAGTTGCATCTTGTTTTTTCACCCATCCAGCCACTATATGCATTTTGACAGAGAATTTAATTCGTATACATTTGGAGTAATTATCAATAGGGAAGAACTTAGTAATATCATCTTGTTAATGGTTTTCTGGCTGTTTCATAATTCCTTTGTGCTTTCTTCCTCTCTTACTGCCTTCCTTTGTGAATTGATGATTTTCCATAGGGGTATGCTTTGATGCCATTCTTTTTATCTTTTGTGCATCTACTGTAGGTTTTTGCTTTGTGTACCATGAAACATTGATTATAATAATTATTTTAAGTTGATAACAATTTAATTTCAACTACATACAAAAACTCTACCTTTTTACCCTCCCTTTTTCTTTTTGATGCCACAATTTACATCTTTTTATATTGTATACCCATTAGCAAATTTTGTAGCTATAGTTATTTTTAATACTTACGTCCTTTAACCTTTACACTAGAATTAACTGATTAATACACTACCATATTACAGTGTTGAAGTGTTCTGAATTTGACTATATAGTTATATTTATCAGTATGTTTTATATTTTCATATGTTTTCATGTTACTAATTGGTGTCCCTTTGTGCCAGCTTGAAGAACTCCTTTCACATTTCTTGTAAGGCAGGTTTTGTTTGTCTGGGAAAGACTTTGTCTCTCCTTCATTTCTGAGGATAATTTTGCCAGGTAGAATATTGATTACTTTACGGGGCGCCTGGGTGGCTCAGTTGGTTAAATGACTGCCTTCGGCTCAGGTCATGATCCTGGAGTCCCGGGATCGAGTCCCGCATCGGGCTCCCTGCTC